GGTCCACATTTTTGTATCTGATCAGTTCAATAGATTTAAAGAAATTCTTTAGTCAAAGGGCTCAGAGGGGAATTGTTCTGGGGAAGGCTGTGTGGTTGGTGCTCTTCCTAACACCCACGGAAAAGTGAGTATGTAGGGTTTCTAAGCTGTTGCTTTCAGTGAACAGGTTTGAGTTCTAATTTGTGGCTTTTCGATCTGCTTTATCACAGGTTACTAGAGCGTTGTGTTTTATAAATTCATGATCACATGTGAGTTATTCGTTTTTACTTAACTTGTCAGAAACTTCTTTGGATATTTAAATCAGAAACAATATAGTGTTGAAATACAGACTGGATGAGGTGTGACGATATTTGAGACATAACTGTTTTTTTTTTCCTTTCTAAGTCATGAACAGTATGGTTTTTACGTAGATCCAGAGGCACAGATTTCGTCCTGAAACATGAGTATTTTTGATACAGCAGTCGGGGCTCAGTACTACCGTCGCATTGGTCCGGATCCCCCATAAGCAGATGCCAGGATGGGAACAGATGTGTGAGGTTTGTTGGAGAAAACCTTTCAGGGGAATGGCAGCCATGAGACTGAGATGCAGGCTTGACTCCCGAGAGGAGGCAGGAAGGGAGGGAGCTCCTGGACTGCTGCAGGGTTCTAGTTTGCCACCGTCTGTGGAGTCCTGCTGCTAAGTTCCCAGCGCAGAGGAGTTGCCTGGCTTTGGAGGGCGTGGTCTAAGTATCCAGGCGCTGCTCATTCATTGGCTGGCGCAGCCCAAGGGAGGCGTGGCCTCTGCGGGAGCACCTCCGGCCTGGGTGCTGCTCCCCAGCTGGGGGCCTGGAAGTCCTGCCTGGGTCTGACCTGGACTGGTGGATGTTTCCCAGACATGGAATTCGTTTTCTCTCCAGACAGGGGGCAATAATGTTGTATTTCTACAGAGACAGAAAGGTGGGCTAACCCAATACATTATCTCTCTTTTTTGATGTATCAATTTGGGGGTCCTAAGAAGGAAGTTATGAATTAAATACATCGTAGACACTTAATTGGTTCACAAATGGAGCGATTGCCAGAGAGCCCACCACACATTTTAAAAATTATGTGCTGGGTTTTGTGTGAGGAAGAATGGTTCCTAGGGTTTCCAAACTTCCAAACAAAACAAAAACAAAAAAATGGCACAAGGTATTAGAAAGAAAACCATCATGCTTTGAAGCCTGATTTGAAAACTGCCTTGAATGCGTTGCTTACAGGGAGTCCCTTTAAGAAAAGCAGCTCAGCCGGGTCCGGGTGCCGAGTCCGAGGCCTTGTTGGACAGCAGAGGGTGAGCCACAGAGTCCCGTTGGTCTGTGAGACCCACTTGGCCGTGCACAGAGCCCTGGTGTAGCCCTTATTCCTGGGACCAGCACCTCAGTTTTCTGGAAGAGCAGGATTTTCTTTTCTTCTTCGGGGTGAGAGTGTGGTCCGGGTGAGCATCACTGAGGAGCATCTCCTGAGACACCAGACCGAGTGTCCTGGTGGCCTTGTTGGTCATTCTCGCCCATTCTGGCAGGACATGCAGAGAGGCCCTTCCCTCCTCCCCTGGGCAGGCTGCCCCCTTCTTTCAACATCTTGCTCGACATTAGGGATTTTGCATCTTTTGGATCTTTCTTGTTGCTGTTGTAGATGGACACACGCCTTTACTTTACGTGTTTATTTTTAGGTGGTGCTGAGGATCCAGCCCAGTGCCTCACTCGCACTAGGCAAGCGCTCTGCCACTGAGCCCCAGCCTCAGCCCAACGTTAGGAATCTTGTTTTAGTGGTAGCCATTGGCCATCGGACTTTTGCCAAGGAGATGTCAGGTTAGGTGTAAAGGTGAAGATTTCCAAGGGTAGTTGTTGACAACTTATTCAAAGTGGTTTATTTGTTAGTGCATATGCATGACTTACTTATTACATGCTTATTATTTTAAAGGGATGGAAAATAAGAATTGGAATGAGCAGAACTAGACAAGCCAGTGAACTCACAGAGAAGGGGTGAATGTAGTTGACACTTGTCATATTTGGCCAAAAGATGGCTGGGTCCGGCCACGTCCTCCCTCACTGCTGCACGTGGCCTGCTGGACGCTGTGGAGCATCCTGTGGATCTAGGATACTGTGATAAGATGTGGGTCAAACCCTCAGCCTTACAAATAACAGGCCGTCTGTCCTTAGGGTGCAAAGAGAGCAAATCCAGCAAGAAGCCGTAAGCATAGAAGTCAGAAAACCAGACTAAGGCTGAGGGTGTGAAGGAGAGCATGCAGTCAGAGCTGTGGGGTTTCATCTCCTGGGCAGTGCAACAGCCCAGTGGCTTGTGTCCCCTTCTAAGGTCATGTCAGAATCCTCGCCCTCAATGCTGAGGCATTGGGCTGCGGGCCCTGGGTCCAAGGGTGGAGCCCTCTTGCGTGGGGTTAGTGCCCTTGTTAAAAGGGCTGCAGAGAGCCTTTGCCCTTCCTCCCTGTGAGGTGACGGAAGACAGCCGTCTTGGAAGCTGGCCCTCAACCAGGCTCTGGGTCTGCCAGCTGGCCTAGGACTTCCAGGCTCCAGGACTGGGAGAATACAGTCCACCATTTGCAAGCGCCCAGTGAGTGCTGTTTTGTTATAACACCTGAAGGAACTTTGACAAGAGTGAAGGCGTATTACAAGTTCTAAACCAGGGGAAATGGAAAACCAGGTGCCACTTTTCCTTTTCTTTTGAAACTGGGTCTGGCTGTGTTGCCCAGGCTAGCCTCGAACTCCTGAGCAAGAGATCCTCCTGCCTCAGCTTCCTCAGTAGCTGGGACTAGGGGCATGTGCCACTGCACCTAGCTCCCTTAAAGACGTTTATGATAGCTTTGTTGAGGTAGAATTTATATCATTTGAAATATACAATCCAGTGGTTTTTAGCATTCTCACCCAGTGAATTAACAAAGTGTAGCCACGACCGTAATTAAATTTACATTTTCATCACCTACCTAAAGAAACCTGTGTGTATCAGCCGTCATACCTCTTTTCTGCCCACTTCCCTCAGCCTTGCACAACCACAGTCTACTTTGTTTTTCCATGGATAACCCTATTCTAGACATTTAATGTATATATAGAATCATAGAGCTGGTGATTTTTTGTGTGTGTCTGCCTTCCTTTTTTACTGCTATATACTATTCTATTGTATGGACATAGCACAATTCATGTACCCAACCATCAGTTGATGGACATTTGGATTACTTCTTTGGCCTGTTGTCAGTAATGTTCTCTGAACATGCACATGCATGCTTTCTTGTGGACGTATTTTCGTTTCTCAGGGGTGTATATCTAGCAGTTGAATTGCTATATCCTTAGGTAACTCTGTTTAACTTTTGAGAAACTATCAGACTGTTTCTGCAGCAGCTTCACCATTAACATTTCTGCCAGCAGCACGTGAGGCTCCAGTGTCTCCAGATTCCTGTCAACACCTGCTGCTGTCTGTGTTGTGGATCCTAGCCTTCCTAGTGCTTGTGTGGTTGTGTCTCACAATGTGATTGTGGTTGTGAGGTTGTGGTTTCAATCTTCCTGTCTCTGACATATCCATTAATTGATTATCCATAACTATTGTTGGGCATCTTTTCAACACAAAGCTGCTTATTGGCTATTTGTGTATGTTTTTAGAGAAATAGCCACTCATTCTTTTTTCATTTGAAAGTTATTTCTCTAGTAGGTTGTGAGAGTTCTTCATATATTCCAGTCAGGTGTATGATTTGCATTTTTTTTTTTTTTTGCATTCTGTGAAATATTTTTACTGGCTTGGAGGTATATCTCCATGAAATCTATTTTTTCTTCTGTTGCTTGTGCTTTTGATATTATACCTAAAAAACCGGTGCCTATATCTGAGGTCATGAGATCTATACCTATGTTTTTTTTCCTAAAAGTTTGGCAGTTTCAGTTCCTAGATTTAGGTCTGGGATTCATCTTTGAATTGTTTTTGATCTTTTAATGTGGACATCCAGTTGTCCCCCTCGCAATTTGTTAAGGAGACCTTTCTTGGCCTCACTCGTTTGTGCTAGCATTCTTTCCGACATGCGTGCCGCTTCTGAGGCAAGATTTATTCGACGACTCTTACCAACTTAAGGTTGGCACTATTTTTGTCAATAAATGGTTTGTTTACTGAGAGCTGCATTTTACAAACACGACTTTTACCATGTAAAAGATGGGAGAATTGCCTCTAATAGAGCAAAGGCTGTGGGAACACAGTTGGGTGGAAAGGCAGGTATGTGCCATTTAACGTGGGAGCACGTTCTGAGAAATGTCTCACTGGGTGGCTTTGTCGCTGTGTGAATGCGAGGGTGCACACACGCAAACCTAGATGGTCTAGCCTGCTGCACCCCTAGGCCATGTAGTAGAGCCTCTTTCTCCAGGGCTGTGAGCCTGTACAGAATGCCACTGTGCTGACCCCACTGGGCCACTGTAGCACGGGGCAGGTGTGTGTGCACTTAACACATCTAGACAGGTTTGCACCGGCATCACCACAGACATGCCAGTGACACGTTGCACTATGGCTTTGTGACGACTGTGACGTCACCAAGGAGACGGAGTTTCTCAGCTCCACTTTAATCTTCTGGGACCACTGTTGACCGAAACGTCACGATGTGGCACACGACTGTGCAGGTCTGTCTCTCCAGGGGGAGCCAGGTTAGGCATCTCCCCAGCCAGCGCTTTCCATGTTGGTGTGTGTTGGAGGCCATCTTGTCAAATAGATTCCCGGATCAGGTGGGGTGTCGCTGAGTCGCTCCAGGTGAGGCCCATGTGGTGGTTCTGGTCCTGGGGCCTCGCTCTCAAGAGACCCTCTAGTGTGACTCCTTATTCAGTGTCATTACATCTACTTATTTAATGCGATTTGGAAGGGAAATACAAACTGAATATTGTGCATGCCCCGTTTTTAGATTTTATTGAATAAATTGCAAGATGAAAAACCACCACACAAAGAAACAGGATCACAGCTTCCCCCAGAGGTGTTTTCTCCATCTTGACCTTTCCATCTTCTTCTAGGCCTCTGATGATCATCACTCAGAAGATCACAACCCTGGCTTTCCAAGTCCATGATGGTGAGAACAACCACCCTCCTTGTGGCCCTCCGAGCTCTCCTTTGTGTGCCCCAGGGTTTAGACAAGTGCCCGAGGACCTTGCCACCTCGTGTTCTAACTTTCCAAGTCTCTTTAACCCGTCCTACTCACCACCCTCCACTCCCTGGGGAATCTGTAGTCTAAATGTGCTGAAATATTCACTCCGGGAACAGTGGGTTCTCTGTTTGTGTTTGCAGTGTTTAAAAATCTGTGATTCTCTCTAAATTCATTTCCAAATTGCTTAAGAAATGGCAACCTTTTTGCTTTGGTTTAGTCTCCAAAAAGCTTATAAGGTAAATAAAAAATTAAACAGCATTGGATGTTTAATCATTTTTTGATAGTAGATCTTTTCTTTTGATGGAAAATCATTTAATGGATAATCATCTTGAAAAATCATCTAATGAGATTAGCCTGACCCTATAAAAAGCCAGGAGAAGGGCTGGGGTTATGGCTCAATGGTGGACCACTTGCCTGGCATGTGTGAGGCACTGGGTTCAATCCTCAGCACCCCATAAAGATAAAACAAAGGTATTGTGTCCAGTACCTTTTAAGTCCAATGGCAATTAAAAAAATTTAAAGAAATTGGGAGAAGGAAAAATCTGTCGTTTTTCCAGCAAATGCAATTTACACTGTTCTTACTGGGACCCAGGGAAGGGAGGAGGGTATTTTCAGTTGGAGGGAAGATCTCTACCTGGCTTTACGAGGTGCCAGGTGTGATTGCTAAAACCACCTTCTGTGGATTGTGCAGCTCCGGCCGGTGCACTTGACTGTCGGGTGTCTTCACTGGGTGACAGGTGGAGAGGGTTGTCTCCAGGAGCTGGTTTTCTTGTTAGTCCTTCCATCTTCCGAACTGATGACACTTGGTCTGACCCGGTGTCCCCTGTTTCGTACCGGGCGCTCTAGTTGTGCTGTAGAGAACTGAATCATTTTAGATCAAGATGGAGTCTTTCCAGGGGAACTTCCTGTCCTATGTGCCCAGCACCGAGAGGTCTCCCGGATGGGAGGCTCGTAAGGGCCGGATGAGAGGAGCCCTGCAGACTGAGCAGCAGCCCAGACCAACAGCTGACGTCAGTGCCACTCGGGTTGCTAGATGGTACTATTAGTTGAGATCTTAGGGGGAAAAAATGAAGAGATTTTTCTTTCTTTTTCTTTTTTTTTTTTTAAACACTGTTTCTTCTTTTTTTTCTCTAAATGGACTTTGTGCCTAAATTTAATTTTTAAAGTGTTCTCACCCACCACATTCACTTTCCGGGACATCCTTGTGTGCGTTAAGTGATTATTGGCCTCATTTTTTCTTCTTCGTGTGTGGGAGGAACAAGGACACTCCAGAGACGCTCTGCCCTCTCTGAGGCGCGCTGCAGTTCCTTCGTGGTTGGTGACCGTCACCAGCCTTAGCAGGACAGGCAGTCCCACAGTTGACTTCTTGCTCGTAACCCTTCAGTGACTTCTCTCCAGTCAACACGGCCATTTTATAGGGCGCACTCGTCCTTGGGTTGGAAGGTTTTCTGCCAAGGGTAGGTTTTAAGAAGAAATCTAGCCATTTCTTTGTGCCTTCCTTGTATGGGGGTGACCTTTCTACTCTTGCTGGAAAAGGGAAGTCCCATTTCTATTCCCTCTGGATCCGTTTTCTGCCCCCAGCTCATTTCAGGACCTCAGCCAGCCTAACCAGGGAGGTGTTTACACGGTGCAGTCTGCGAGGGGCAGTTTTGTTTCTCTGCCTCCGCAGTGACGTCATACAGGGGAAGGAACCCCCAGTGGAGGAGGGGCAGGGTGTTCTGGGTCCCTCTGGGGTCTGGCTCATGGTATGCAAATTAAACAGAAAAGCTCAGAAGGCTCCCTGTCTTTGGAACCTGCAGAGACTTTCCTTCTTCACCTAGGCTCCTGGGCAGCTCTCTGACCCAGGGAACCCGCCCACCCCATGCTGGGGATAGAACCCAGGGCCTAGTGCATGCTGAGCCCGTGCTCCACCACTAAGCCACATGCTCCCAGGGATTTTTATAAAATAAAAACCAGGGGCTTGATGATTTATGAAGCAAAAATAATTTGCCTTTTTCAAATGAGTTCAGTAAGACTGGTTAAGATGAGCTATCTACTTCACTTTAAAGGTCGTATTTCTATTTTTTTTTTTTTAAATAGGATTAGGTCGAAGAGCTGAAGACCTTTCTGCTGAGCAACATCGACTTGCAGTAAAGTAGGTTGATATGTTTTACAGTCCTCTGCAAATCGGTATTTATAGAGATCGTCCTCAGTTTTGTAATATCTGTATATTAATTCTATACTATGAATATTGTTTATTTATCAGATCTATTGATGGATGCTTGGATTGCCTACCAATCTTTGGCTTTGACAAGCAATCAGTGATGGATAACCTTGTACATGGATTATTTTTTAAAAAATTTTATCTATTTTTTATTTTTTATTTGTTCTTTTAGATATGCATGATAGTGGAGTATATTTTGACATATTATACATACATGGAATATGATTTACTCTAATTAGGATCCCATTCTTGTGGTTGTACAGGATGTGGAGTTACACTGGTCATGTATTAATATATGAACATAGGGAAGTCAGGTCCTTATTTCCCATTCACGTGCCCCCTCCCTTCCCTTCATTCCCCTTTGTCTATTCCGATGAACTTCTATTCTTCCACCTTCCCCTTTATTGTATGGTGGCATCCACATATCAGGGAGAACATGTGGCCTTTGGTTTGGGGGATTGGCTTATTACACTTAGCATGATAGTCTCCAGTTCTATCCATTTACCAGAAAATGCCATAATTTTATTCTTCTTTGTGGCTGAGTAATATTCTGGTGTGTGTGTGTGTGTGTGTGTGTGTATAACATTTTCTTTATCCCTTCATCTGTTGAAGGGCACCTAACTTGGTTCCACAGCTTAGCTATTGTGAGTTGAGCTGCTATAAACATTGATGTGGCTGCGTCATTGTAGTACGCTGACTTTAATTCCTGTGGGTATAGACTGAGGAGTGGGATACCTGGGTCCAATGGTGGTTCCATTCCAAGTGTTCTGAGGAATCCCACGTGGATTATTTTAAATGTGTTTGAGTCTAGCTGTAGGACCGATTCCCAGAAGTGGATTGTTAGGTCAAGGAGTAAAAGAATCTTTAACTTATTAGTCCTGAAAGATTCTCCTTCACCAAAGTCGTTTTGTCTGCTCTGGAGTTATTTTCCATGGGCATGTGTCTGGGGCCCTCTGTGAACCGTTATCTGTCCACCACATCAGTGTGCCAAAGAGAGAGGAGGTGGGACAGGAGAAATGGGCCTGGGCTGGGCACCAGGAGGCAGCCAGTGCAGGTGGGCCTTGGCCAGTGCAGGTGAAAGGGGTGGTGTAGAGGGAAGGAGCCCCCAGGACAGGAGAGCAGCATGGACATGGGTCGACAAAGGCTCAGTGGGCTGAGGACAGAGAAGCTGCCCAGTGTGGGCTAGGAGGGTACCCGGAGCCCACCGAGGGAGGGGAGGCGGCCCAGGTGGTTTCCTCGTTGAGAAACTGTGGTGTGGAAGCCGCGGAGAACCTTTGGACGATTCTAGTGGATTCCGTCTCCACTACACCTCTGGGGGTACCCAGGAGATGGGGCACAGCCGCAGCGCGGGGTAGCTGGGGAGTTTCAGAACGCCTTTCCCGGTGACTCCCAGCTGCCCCGAAGCCTTAAGTAGAACTGTTTTCACCAGATTTTCCCTGCCACCTCCCTGGCCTGTTATTCAGGGCCTCCGTCTGGATGCCAAAGCAGTCAGCAGACTCGCTGCACTAGTTTGTGTGGCTTCTTCCAAGTGGAAACTGGTTCCACCCATCATTTGTTTTGGGTTTATTTTGGCAACCTGGAGAGTTTTCCCTTTTCGGAGCATCCCAGTCAACTCACAGACTCACATTAGGTCAGGTTCTCACCCTGCCTGAGGCGCTTTTACCTTCATTTTGTGATGTAGACAGATAAGGGTGATAGAAAAAAGCATCTCCCAGCCTCCCAGTAGCTTCTGCCCCAGGCCCAGCCCTGGGCAGTTACAGTTGTGACCAGCAGAGGGCGCCACAGAGCCCTGAGCCTGTTCTGACCACCTGCCTGGTCAGTGGGTGCTTTGAACAAGGTTGCTCTCTTCCCTGATTTCCTTATTTGCACATTCTGAAGAAAGACTGGAGACCAAGGAGTTTTCAACTTTTAAAAAATTAAAAACTAAGTTAAAGTTTGGAGCTTTGTAGTTATAGATAATAAGTGAGGTTCGTTTCAACATAGTCATAAACGCGTATGACAGGTTTCTCCATTTCAATCCTCAGTACTAACCTTTCTCTTCCTCCCTTCCTCCCCCTGCCCTGTATTGGTCTTCCTTTTATTTATTTATTTTTAATTGGTTCATCATAGTTACATATAAAATTGAAATGCACAGTGACATATTCACATAGGCACATAGCGTAATTTGGTCAACTTTATTCCTCTCTTCTTCCCCTTCCCCTCCTCTCCCCTCCTCTCTCCCCTTGGTCCCCTGCTTCTACCCTGCTGTTCTCCCTTTTAGTTTTGCAAGATTCCTTTTTTTTTTTTTTTTTTATTCCTGTTTTCTCTCTGGCTTCTGCACATGAGAGAAAACCTTTGACCCTGGGCTCTCCGAGTCTGGATTATTTCCCTTATCATGATATTCTCCAGTTCCATCCCTTTACCAGCAAATGACAATTTCACTCTTCTTCATGGCTGAGTAGAACACCACGTGTATGTAGACCACATTTTATTTATCATCTATCTACTGATGGACACCTGGGCTGGCTTCATAACTTGCTGTTGTGGATCGCGCTGTGATACACATTGGTGTGCATGCGTCATTACAGTATGCCGATTTTAGTTCTTTTGGATAAATATCAAGGAGTGGGATAGCAGAGTCATATGGTGGTTCCTAGTCTTTGGAGAAATCTCCATATGGCTTTCCAAAGTGTACTAATTTGCAGTCTCACCAACAATGTATAAATGTATCTTTTCCCCACGAGCTGGCCAGCAATTACCATGATTTGTATTCTTGGTGACTGCCGTTCTGACTTGGGTGAGAGGAAATCTCAGTGTAGTTTTTGATTTGCATTTCCCTGGTTGCTAAAGATGTTCAACACTTTTTCCTATACTTTTTTGACCATTTGTATTTCTTCTTTTGAGAAATGTCTCTTTAGATCTTTCACTCATTTATTAAGTGGATTATTAGTTTTTTTGGTTTTAAGGTTTTTGAGATCTTTATATATGAGCCCATAGTTGAAAGAGCAGCTGGCAAAGATTTTCTCCCATTCTGTGCTCTCTCAATGCTCTTCATGGTTTTCCTTGCTGTGAAGAAGTTCTTTAATTTAATGCTGTCCCACTTATTGATTATTGGTTTCATTTCTTGAATTTTAGGAGTCTTATTAAAGAAGTTGGTGTCCATGCTAATGTGCTGGAGTGTTACCTGTTTTCTTCTAGCAGTTGCACTGTTTGTAGTATAATTTGCAGGTCTTTGACCCACTTTGAGTTGATTTTTGCGCACGGTGACAGGTAGGGACCTACTTTTGTTCTTCTCCACATGGATATCCAGTTTTCCCAGCACCATACCAGGGGCTGTCTCTTTTCCAACTTACTCTTTGGCACCTTTGTCAAGAACCAGATCACTGTGTTCATGGGATTTGTCTCTGTGCCTTCTGGTCTGCTCCATTGGTCTTCCTGTCTGTCTCTCATGCCAGGTGCTCTGCTGTTTTTGTGACTGTGGCTCTGTAGTATAATTCGAGGTCAGGTATCGGGGTGCCTCTATCCTCAGTCTTGTTGCTCTGCATTGCTTTGGCTCCTCTGGATCTCTTGTTCTCCCATGTAAGTTTAAGTTCTGTAGGGAGTGACATTGTTATCTAGATGGGGACTGCACTGAGTCTGTAGGTTGCCTTTGGCAATATGACCATTGTGACGATATGAATTTTACTATCCATGAACATGGTAGGCCTTTCCATCTTCAAGGTGCTCTTCAATTTCTTTCTTCACTGTTTTATGATTTTCACTGTAGAGGTGTCTCACCTCATTAGTCAGATTTATTCCCAAGCCTTTTATTTTATTTTGAGGCTAATGTGAATGGAATCGTTTTCTTGGTTTCTTTGAATTTTGTGTGTTGATCATGCATCTCGAAACTTCACTGAATTTGATTATCAGTTCTAGAAGTCTGCTGGAGGTTTGTTTTTTTTGGGGGGGGGCGGGGGTTTCCTACATATAGGATCATGTCATCAGCAAACAGAAATAGTTTGATTCTTCTTTTCCTGTTTGTATTTCTTTAATTTTCTTCTCCTGCTGGATTGCCCCAGGAAAGGGCTTGTCACCTTTAGTCATCCACAGAGATAACGACTGTGTTCAGGATTCGCTCACCTGCACCTCCGAGAGGAAAATCAAAGACTAGAGAGTTTTCAACTTTCTTCTTACTATTTTTCACAGAGTGAAACCCTCTTTTTTGGAATACTTAAGTTACCTTCTCAATTTCATGAGCGTCATCGCTGGCCCTTGCAATCATTTCAAGGACTATGTAGCATTCATCGAAGGGAGACATACCCACATGAAGTTGCTGGAAGTGAACGGGAAGCACAAAGATTTCCACAGCTTGCCAGAGCCTTCTCCAACTGTAAGTCTTTAGTGCCAGCTGTTTACTCTGAGTCCAGAGAACAGATTTTGCTGCTAGGGTTGACTCACTGCTTGCTTTAGTGAACAAGCCAGGGCTGGGGTGCAGCTCAGTGGTAGAGCATTTGCCTAACATTCATGAGGCCCTGGGTTTGATCCCCAGCACTGCAAAAAGGGGAAGTGAACAATTTACCAGAGAGCTTGGCCAGTAACTTTTCTCACATTGGTTTAAAATGCCATTATTGGTGTTTATCTGCAGGGGTTCTCAGTGTTGGAGGACTTAGCTGGGAGTCAGGCTCTGTTCCCGGGACCTAGTACATACCCATTCACTTCCACCCAGGCCACCCGCTGGGGACGTGCTCTTAGTATGCCATACTGCAAATAAAAGTCCATTTCTATGAAGTTGGAAACTATAGATCTCCAGAATGACATTTCCTGGAATGTCAGAGAGACTGGGCAACGTCATTCTGTTGAAAGGAATTAAAAAGTCAGTGTGACTTGATTCTAGAAGGGACTATGCCTGAGCCCCCTGGGAGGCTAACGCTGTCCATCACCTGCCCACACACCGGCTCAGGTGTCCTCTCCCTTGCCTAGACTCCGCTGACCCTAAGCCTCTGTCCTTCTTGCTGGGAATTCAAGCCCATTTCCTGGGTTCTGAAGGTTATAAAAGCAGAAGGCAAAGGGTTGTTTCTTTCTGATGGGAAATTGTCACCCTGCAACGCTGTCCTTCAATCTGATGTTGTGGATAATAAAACCACCTGCCCTTTGTTGGTGAATACGCTGAAGGAGGTTGTCGTCCGTGCTGGACACGTGAGTCCTCCGTGGCCAATGTCAGGGCAGCACCCTGTCCACGTGCTCTTGCAGAAGTTGCCCTCCATGCCTGAGTCTTCCAAGTGCTCACACTGGTTCCCCCTGTTTCTAGGGAGCTGTGATGCACAAGTTGTGTGTCACGCTGGTATCTCTCCTTCTGTTCCTGACGCTCACCAAGACCTTCCCGGTCACCTGCCTTGCCGAGGACTGGTTTGTCCAGAAGGCGGACTTCCTGACGCGTCTCTGCTACCTGTATGTGGTCATGCAAGCCTCAAAGCCCAAGTATTATTTTGCGTGGACGTTGGGTAAGTTCGCGGGAAGGGCCTGCTCCCTGGACGGCTCAGCCGGACAGTCTTTTGGGTTCAGAACCTAAACCGGAGGCTCTTGAGCCAGGGTCATTTTTGACTTTCCAACACAGCACTCATCTCCTCCTCCCGCCATAAGCCCAGCCATCACGATAGGGGGACAGCCTGTCCTGGCTGCTGTTAAACCTAGTGCTATGAACAGACGTCAGAACTGGGACACTCCGACTTCCACCGCTCACACTTGGCCATTGAACACGGAGGAGAGTCAGGGAAAATCCCAGAGTGGTCTGATTTCCCTCTGGTCTTCCTGGATGCTGTGCAACCCAGGAGGCCTGCTGAGTCCATCTTACCTCACACCTGCTAATTCAGGCTCACTGCCTTAAGAAAGTTAGTTTTATAGTCAGTTGACACCAATTTCAAGTTTTTCCACTGTTTAAGGTAGAATGTTCAATTTTATTTGGTTTTATCACACTTTTTTCCACCCTGTGGAGTAACTTGGTCAGTATTAAACTTTTTTTTGGGGGGGGGTGCGTACTGGGGATTGAATTCAGGGGCATTCAATCACTGAGCCATATCCCCAGCTTTTTTTTTTTTTTTTTTTGTATTTTATTTAGAGATAGGGTCTCTCTGAGTTGCTTGGGGCCTCACTAATTTGCTGAGGCTGGCCTCAAGCTTGCTATCCTCCTGCCTCAGCCTCCTGAGCTGCTGGGATTACAGGTGTATACCACTGCACCTGGTTTTTGAAAAATTTTTGAGGTTGGGTCTCCCTAAATTATGGAGGTTGGTCTTGAATCTACGATCTTCCCACCTCAGCCTCCCAAGTTGCTGAGATTGCAGGCATGGGCCACCCACTGTACCTGCCCATTTGCTGTTATTTAATTGTGGTGAAATAGACGTAATACAAAGTTCACTGTTTCAACCACCGTTAAGTGTACAATTCAGTGGCACGAAGTATGTCCACGAGGTTGTTCTGCCATCGTCTCCAGAGCTTTTTCATCTCCAGGTGGGAACCCTGTACCCCCTCAACCCCAACTTCCTATTTCTTCCCAGTCCAGATTATCGTATGGGCCCATGTGCCCATGCCTTGCGGCACTCCTGTTCCATTTGGCCGGAGAGGTCTGAGGCAGAGATCTTCTAAAATCCACAATGCTGGGCATTTTGTTTCTGATTACGTTCAGTTTAACTCAGGGAGTTTTGGTGAGCACCAGGCTTTGGGCTGGGAGGAATTCTAAGCTGGGTGAGACGCTTTCCCTCCCTCAAGATTGAGACGACCTGGGGGACCGTGGACATGCCTAAGGGCTATCAGGGCCCAGAGACCATGATCCTTATGCATGGGGCGTGGGGAAGACTTTGTCTCATTCCTCCTTCTGCTATTGCTTTTTTTTTTTTGGTATTAGAGATTGAACTCAGGGACACGTGACCACTGAGCCACATTCCCAGCCCCTTTTATACTTTATTTAGAGACAGGGTCTCACTGAGTTGCTTGGAGCCTCCCTAAGTGGCTGAGGCTGTGATCCTCCTGCCTCAGCCTCCCCGGCCACTGGGATTCCAGGTGTGTGCCCCAGGCCCGGCCTGCTATTGCTCTACTGTTTAGAAATGAGGCTTTCTTTCGTGGCCAGGTGTTAGACCTACTCAGGATGGGAACCCGCTTGCCACACTGGGTATGGTTTTCTCCGCACAACAGTTAGTGGTTCTCTTTAACCTGAGTACGCGTGGGCACATGCGCAGCCCTTTCCTCCTTCTCCCTCCTCCCCCCATCCTCCCCTCTCCCTTTCTCCTTTTCTTCGGCTCCCCTGTTTCCTACCGGGCCTGGAGCCGAGAGGAGGGAAGAAGGGCCATCCTGTGGCCTCCGAGGGAAAGTCCAGCTTGAGCCGGCTGTCCAGCAGGACCTGGGGTGACAGGCAGCAGGGGCGCCCGCATCCTCCAGCACGGAGAGCGCCCCACAGGGAGGACCCGTCCTGGAGAAGCCTCCCTGTGGACCCCCCTTTCCCAGCCCCCCACCCTCTCTTGATCTTGTTCTGGGTGCTTTGTAGGAACGCCTCATTGGTTTCTGTCGCCTCAGTTTGAAGTTTGTTTCGGCTCAGGCTGGAGCTCAGGCTGGTCTGAAATTAACCTTTGTATTATTTATGAATAAAGAAGCAATGAAGAGTGTCTCAGGGAATATTTAAACCGCTTAACCGAATAATTGTTTGAGCCAGCTCTTTAAAACGCCATTTACATATAATTGATGTACTAATTATAGGTGATTATGAATTTGATCCTTCAAGCTGAGCTCACGATGCATCTCAGCCGAGCCTCACTAGCTCTAGTTACTGTTGATGTTGAAATAATAAAATTATTTTCTTTGGACTTAGCATCCAATTTTGGTTATTCTCCCCCTCCTGTCACTAGTGCTAATTAGAGAGCCTCAATTCCAGCCCAGGCTGTGTTCTAAGGATCCGAACTCCGATACAAGGGTGTTGGAATGAATGTATCGGAAATAATAGGTCAGAGCCTCGCACAACCCAAGGAAGTTAGTTTTGGACCCGGGTACTCACTACCTCTGACTGCTATGGGACACAAAGGTGTCCCAGAGAAGCTACCACAGAGTGGGGACTTCGGACCTTGTTTCAGAGGTGGAGGTTCTGAGAGTCAGGACTGGGAGTCGCTCACCACTTGCTCTTCAAAGTGGCTCTCAGCTGATCAGGTTGTGCCGTCAGAGCTGCAGCATTTGGATTCCGGCATCGTTCCCCTCCGAGTGGTCTTAACGTTCACTTAACACTAACCTCAGGCCCCTTCATAGCCTGCTGAGAGGCGGCCATGCCGGTGATAACAATGGCAGCCAGGCGTGGTGGTGCCCACCTGTCATCCCAGCCGCTTGGGAGGCCAAGGCAGGAGGATGGCAAGTTCAAGGCCAGCCTGGGCCACTTAATGAGACACTGTCTCAAAATATATGATAAAAAGGGCCGGGGGCCTAGCTCACAGTAGGGGACTGGCCTGGCACGTGCAGGGCCCTGGGTTCCACCCGGCACTGCAGGAAGAACACGACAGCCAGGGTTTCTTGCGGGCTGCCTTGGGCCAGGCTCCGCTCTCCGCACTCCACACACTCATTTTCATTTAATCCTTTCAACAGCCTCTTAGGATCGGTGCCATTAGTGTATCCATTTTCTACATAGGGAATGGGTTCCGAGAAGCAGACGGCTCTCCCGGGGCCGGGCACACAGCACACAGCCGACCCTGCCCTTGGCCACCTCTAAGACGGTTGTGAGGACTGGAGAAACGCTGAGCAGCTGTGGCTGCCCAGTCCCGGGATGTCGGGAGCTGTCGGTCACTGTCCTGTTCTTTCAGTCTGACCAGCGTTGGGGGTGGCAGCAGGAGTTCAGGGATCACGGCGTGGGCCGCCGCAGGTAGCCAGCTCTGGTCTCAGTGTCCACGTGGCCTCAAGGGCTCTCTCCTGTGTAGCTCACCTCTGTTGGTCACAAGCCTGTCTCCACGCGGGTAGAACCGCAGACGCCTTCTGACACTCTCTCATTTTGTCTTTCTCTCTGACTCTTGGTCATTTGGGAGGATGATACAGAAAGACTCAACGCTCCTTCCTCCTTTCTTCTAAAAGGAAGCCAATCACTTTACAGTGGGCCGAGACTGAGAGGGAGCACCATGGGGTCACCAGCTGTGCCCAGAGTGGAGGAAGCGCAGAAGAGGGTTTTGTTTGTCTCAGTGCAGGGGTGGAACCCAGGTCTGGCACAGGAGAGGCCGGCGCTCCACCACGGAGCCGCACCCCAGCCCAGGACAGGTGGCTCTCTTTGGACGGCTCTTCTGCCACCATCTTGGTTTGGACATGAACTCTTAGAGGGAGGATTTCTCCACACTCTCCTCCAGGTCTAAGACGCTACAGTGCTGGGACTTAATTAGTTTAATTGATTATTTTCTTAAAGGATTCTAACAAAATTTGAAACAAGATAAATGAAAAGAGAAAATTAGCTTCTTGGTCATTGTGCTGAGGGTGTGTTGAGTTCGTCAGGTCTTAGTGGGTCTCAGAAACACTTCGTTAGAGCATCCCCCAGTCTGTGCCCGGCTGGTTTTAGTGACAGCTTTGGTGCTCTGCTGGGTCCCACGTTTATGCCCATCTCTGTTCTGAGCGCAGGTGTCCTTGTGTCTCTTTCTCACGCACATCTATTGGCCAGTAGATCCTGCTGTTCATGTCGATATTTTGGATCTTCTCTCTGGTGATAATAATGGCAGCCAGGTGTGGTGGTGCACACCTATAATCCCAGCTGCTTGGGAGGCCAAAGCAGGAGGATGGCAAGTTCAAGGCCAGCCTGGGCCTTGAATTCATCCTTGAGTTCACCATCTCTGAGCCTCCAGTGTCTTTCTTCTTTGCAGGTCTCCCTGGGTGCTAGGGGACGAGTGAATGAAAATCAAGGTCACCAAACAGCCAGCTGGATTCTTCTGGTTCATGATACCAGATCCTTTGAATTTTTTGGTTCCTTTCCCCAGGAGCTAGCACCATCTCTCCATGCCCAGTTAGATAAATCTTCTAGCAGCATGTGACTGTCGTTCCGCGCCCTGACTTATTGTTCTAAACCCACAGCTGATGCGGTGAACAATGCGGCTGGCTTTGGGTTCAGTGGCATGGATAAGGACGGCAGGTGCTGCTGGGATCTGCTGTCCAACCTGAACATCTGGAAAATAGAGGTGAGTGGTCCCCCACGTTTCGCCGCTGCATGCAACAGCCGGGGCAGGTGGTCTGCCCTGAGTGTGGTTTCCCTGACGTTCCTCAGCAGATGACCAGGGGAAGCCGCTCTGGGGAAGGCCAGGTCCTGCAGCCCCTGGACATTTTGCATCTCTGATTCCCGCCCTTGTTCCTTTAAAGATCCCGCCTTCTTGGTAGCTTTGATGCTTCAAGGAAGGACGACACCAAACTCTGGAAAAGAGTCAGGAGACCCTCTCTGCTGCTGACATTGCTGTCCTTTTGGCTGGGCGTGCACTGTCCTGGTCTCTAGCTTACATCCTGCTTGCTTCAGTAGAGTGCAGAACCGGAAGCTGCTGTGTCAATATGGCAAGTGTTTCCTGCGAATCCTTTGGAAACAGTTGTCATTGTCTTCCTTTAAGGAGGACTGTCGTGGGCGGCGGTGGTGGCTCAGCGGCAGAGCGCTCGCCTTGCACGTGTGGGGCACTGGGTTCCATCTGCAGCACCACATAAAAATAAATAAATAAAATAAAGGTCTAAAAAATACAATAACATTATTAAGGAAAAAAAAAGAAGAAGAAGAAGAAGAAGAAGAATCGTCGTGATGTCCAGCTTCCGGGCTGCTGGATCTGTGTGGTTGTGCTTCCCGGGTCTTTTTTCTGGACCGCAAGGGTTTGCACAGATTGCTCCTCACACGTGGCGTCCCTGGCCGTCCCACTTGGGGTTTTCTTTGCTCTGTTAGCGAGAGGGTGGTCAGCGGGGCCAGCCCAGGGCCTTCCCTCCTCCCGGCTGGCGTGTTCTCAGCACACCCAGCTCCGTGTCCCTAGCCAGGTGGCTCCTGTCCTCTGCTGGGCTCAGTTTCCTGCCACCAGGGCAGGCACAGTGCCAGGGGAGAGAGTGGGCAGAGGGGTCGTGGTGGGGTGCAGGAAGTCAGGGACGTGGGGAGATGGGTGGCCTTCCACCCCCGCGGAAGCTGGGCCAGGAGGAGAGGGGGGTGCCTCTCCTTCCCGGGGACTCAGGAAAGCCCCCCAAGGCAAGGACGGCCCTCCACCCCACAGAACAGAGGGGCTTAGGGGAAGGACTGGGTTTTTATTTTCTTCTCCTTCTTTGTCTCCTCCTCCTCCTCTTCCTCGTTCTGCTCTTTTCTGCTTATCCATCTATGTATTTTTAGGAAGCAGGAGACACACTCGAACCTGTCGTCCAACCACATGGCCGCACACAGTCAACTCAGGTTCACAGTGTCCTGACTCACGCCAGAGCCAACCAATGCTACTGAGTGCCCACCAGGGACAAAACCCTCATTCTCGGATAGTGCTAGAGGCCCGGGGGCCCCTGTGGGCGGAGCGCCTGGGCACACTCGGTAAGACAAGCCGGGACCCAGCGCTGCTCCTGAGAGAGGAAGGCAGCCTTGCCTGTGGGTTGCCTCCCGGGAGCTCGGAAGCAGAGTCCCAGCCTTCACAACGACTGTCCCATGTTTGGACAGGCCCTGGGGGCCGTCTGTGTCATCTCCTTTCTATTTAGATGACGTAAGGGGGGTTCTGGAGGAGTGACGTTTCTCCCTTGTCCACTTCTGAACTTCTTCTCTCCTCTGGGCTCAGGGACCCCCTGGAGCTTGGGCAACTGTCCTTCCGAGGGCTCCCCTCCCTCCTGGCTGCCCACCAGTGTGCCCACGGTGCCCCAGAGGGTCGGCCTCTCAGTGGGTGTGTGTTCAGGGCCCACATTATCAGTCACGTGTTTATTATAAAAGGAAACCAGAGGAGAGAGGCGGCGTCGCCTTGGTATCAGAGACACAGGGCGAGGGGCTGAAGAAGAACATGGCGGCCTGGCGCAGTCACGGTCCCTTGAGGCTGTGCCCTAGAAAAATGGGTGAGCCAAACCCCTTAGTGTTTTAAAGTAAAAATCATACAAGTCTAGCTGTACGCCTGTGATCAATCCATCTGTCTGTCTTCCTCTCCCCTTTCACTGCCTGCTCGCTCCCTTCCTGGTATGTGTCACCAGGCCCCTGTGTGGCCTACTAGGATTTTCTTGTGGTTAATAAACTTCAGCAGGAAGACATGGCGCCCCGACTTCCGCCGGCGCTAGGAATCATGGTCCTCCTATGTGTGCTCCAAGCTTTTTAGCCCTGGCCTTTGGTACCACAATATCCATATTGTAATGAGAAGACCCAGTTGACAGTTAATTTGGGGACATCTCTCCCCCGGAGGTGGATTGGCTTTCATCATTGCCGTGACATTTCCTTATTGTGATCTAAAGCCTCTTACTCTGGCAGACCCAGCTAGAAGCTTCTCGACTCTTGTAGCTCTTTATAGAATCAACCGCCAAGAGTGACCTGGTTTGTACGTGGCCCCAAATGCAAAGATGACAATTACATTTAAACTGTCTCCCTAAAGGCATTAAACTCACAGGATCGCACTTTTCCTCCGGTGAACTTTCTTTGTGGAATATTCTACTTTTAAGATTCAGATGACTTAAAAAATTTTTTTTAATCAGAGCGGAAGGGAAATCCACAAAATGTTCCTTCGGTTTTCCTATAATTTGAAAATAAGTGTGGAGAAGAATTCAGACTTTGAAGCCAAGGTTTAGTTGCCAGGTTGATCTTATATACACCAGGAAGTGTTCCTGCGTGGATGCTGCAGCCCCGCGGCTCTTGCCTGAGACCGTCATTGTGAAATACCACACTTGCTCTGCCGCCCGGGAAATTCTGGAGAGGACTTTCCGAGACTTGGTATTTTTGCAGCTAATGATAGGTGTGATTTTCTTCTCTCTAGACTGCCACGAGTTTCAAAATGTACTTGGAGAACTGGAACATCCAGACGGCTGCGTGGCTGAAGTGGTAAGGAAATCAGAAGCAGGCTCCTGACTCGGGACACTGGGGCATGCTTTGAGGGACATCCCAGGCCATCGGCCGTCATCTGGGTAGTAATGTCATCTGACCCTTTTGTTCTGTGTTATTATCTATGCCCTGTAAATGAAAAAAAAAAAAAGTCGAAATGCGGTGATTTGAGAAGGTCACAATGTAACATTTATTTTATCTCCTGCTACTGTCATTACTGTGTGCCAGTCATTTATCCCACAAATTAGCTTCATAAGATGTTGCTCATTAGCCCCACTTTACAGATGAGGAAAATGAAGCACAGAGAGGTTATGCAACTCACCCAAGTCACGCAGCTAATGAGTGACAAGTTTGAGCCCAAATGGTCTGTCTGCAGGACCAGGCTCTTGACCTCTGTGCTGTGCTGCTGTTACCTTAAGGACAGTCTGTCGGGGGTAAGGAAGGGCATATCAGCATCAAAGCCCTGATGCTTGCTCTTCTCATCCCTAGCATTGAAAGCTTTATGGTGGCCCACACGTTTATGCTTTTTTAAATTTGCATCTTTGTGTGATGTCTCTATCCTTTTGTTTTGTTTCAAAATGAGAAGCATTTCTTCTTCTTCTTCTTCTTATTCACTAATGATATGTTGGAGCAGGAAACTGCCCTAGTGGGAGTGCACAGACATTGCCTTCCAGCAGATCCCCTCTTTCTGATGTGTGACTTCTTGCATTGGTCAAAACCTGGGGCAAGAGGAGAGACGGTGACGTCCCAGGTGCTCAGGTGACGTCTTCTGAAAGCAGGTGCAGGCTTTGAAAGCCTGGCTTTAGCGAGATGGCTGTCTGTCAGCATTGCACAGGATCATCACACACACTCCGTCTGTCTATGGGTGGCAGTCCCCTGGGCTAAGAGTCTCCGTCAGGAGCTGAGAGATGACTGAGATGACTAAGGGTGCATGTGTGTACATAAAACTTTGACAACAGTGCTTCAAAATTTTTGGCAATAAAATGTTTCACTCTTAAAAGAGGAGATTGAAAGAGTAAGAAACAAATATATACTGTACTGGGCCTACTACTTATTTCAGGGAAAAAAAAAAACGAAAACATTACAAATGGGGTCTTGGTCTTGCGTTTATCTCCCTAAATGCCTTCTCTCTCCTCTGATGAAGAGGCAGCCATAATCCTTGGTTTGGGTGTAAATCAGTTGCTTCTGAATCAGCAGTGAGGGGCTGCTGATAACTGGATTTCTGTTCCATTTTTATTTGGTTCTCTTTGGATCCACTGTGCAGTGGCATCCTTAGAGGGCCATTGGCTCTTTGTCGACTAGGTTTGGGGGGAATCCCCTATCATTTTGATTTCATAAACAGCCTAAGAGCCAAAGGTCTCCACAGTCTTTGTTGACATTTTCTAGATCCTCACAATATCCTTAACCTAAAAATCTGAAATCTAAAATGCTCCAAAACCTGACACACTTTGAACATGAACACGATGTCACAGTGGAACATTCCACACCTAACCTCAAGGGACAGGTTTCAGTCAAAACACTGGTACATTGAAAATATTGTATGGAATCACCTTCAGGGTATGCGTGCAAGGTGTCTATGAAGCAGACAAACGTGTGCCTTTGACTTGGGTCCACTCCCAAGATGGCTCATTATGGATATGCAGGTGTTCTAAAATCTGCAAGCATGCGGAATGCAAAACACCTCTTGGGATACTTAACCCCTGTCACTCTTCAAGGCAGAATCCTGAGTCCAAATCCGATGGACAAGTGAGGCCTGAGCAGGTCATGTGACTGGCACTCTGATTTTTGTGCCCGAGTCCTTGTCCAGGAAAGACTTGAGTGAGGACATCCATTTCTCAGGACCCTTCGCCGATTCCAAAATTTTCAGTGCAGTGGCCCTCACTCAAGTCCCCCTAGATATGAGGCCATGGTTGGAAACAGCTCCTGTTAGGCAGGAATCTTGCTCAGGCCTTCATCAGGGCGCAACAGGCCCAGGCCGTGTAGTCTGTGGAGGCTGGACATTGATCACATCTGCCAAGGCCGAGGTGTGGTCATTTGTCTGGTGGGGCTCAAGGGACCCCAGAGCAGCACAGGCTTTGTGGTTTCATAGCAAGACCCTAGACAGCCCGAGGCCGCGCCTGTCAGAAATGGCTTCTGCAGGGCCTGCTCTAAAGAGGGGCAGGTGCAGGGCAGGGGCAGGTGCAGGGCAGGGGAGGGCAGGGGCAGGCTCTGCACGCTTGCCCTTCACTGTTCCTTCCTGTCTTCGCAGCGTGTGCTATGAGCGGGTTCCCTGGTGCCCGACGGTGCTGACCTTCATCCTCTCCGCCCTCTGGCATGGCGTCTACCCCGGATACTACTTCACCTTCCTAACTGGAGTCCTCGTCACGTTAGCAGCTCGGGCGGTAAGCTGCCTCCGGGTGTGGGGTCTTCCCTTCAGCCATCCGGTGCTTGGGTCTTTGTTGGTATCCTTTAGGTCCTGGCAGGAATTGGGGGGCTGAGAGGGACAGTGGGAATGATATTTTGAAAAATCAAACAACAGACAAAAATCTTCCTATTAGAGAAATACTTCCGTGTACGTGAACCTGTGATCACTACAAAGACAACCATTTTATTTCTGTGTCATTTACAGAGGGTTTTTGTAAAACAAAAGGAATTTTAGGAGCAATATTTATTACCTTAAGAGATGAACACATTTTAATTATTAAAGCCTGCGAAGACACAGTCTACCAATTATAGACGTTGATGATTGTTAATGACTGTGGGCTCTGTAGGACTTCAGTTTGGTTATGTCCTGCTTAATTTAACATTTTTTAAAGATGGACACAATATATTTATTTTATTTACTTATTTATTTGTCTGTTCTTATGCGGTGCTGAGGCTCAAACCCAGTGCCTCACAGTGCAAGAAAAGCGCCCTGCTGCTGAGCTATAACCCCGGCCCCTAATTTAACGTTTTATTATCCCAAGTCTAGAGAGAACTCGCAGGACAGGAGCTGTGCCCTCGGGGACCAACCTCACCTCTTATGGTCTCAAGTCGGATCCAGTTAATTTTGTGTAAAATTATTTGTGAACTTCACAAATTGAATTCTTGTGGGTTTTTTTGTTTTTTTTTGAGGAGCCTCTAGTTTGTCCTCGGTTGTTCCTGCCACCCGCTTGTTAGAAAGCCAGGACTTAAAGGAGTGAAAAATGTGATCGTCTTCCAAGAAGATGAACGTACATAGAAGTAATCGCAATTCCAAGTGCTTCCGTGGCCAAATACAGGGTGATGGATTTGGTTTAGTCTCAGCCCTTGATGGTGGTGGTGGTCTTCCTTAGTTCAGACGCCAGGAGTTTTAAATGACACTTGTCGCAGTCGACTTTAGGTGTGGATTTCAGAGCCCCGTGTATTCACTCCTTCAATTCATTCATTCTGTGAATCTGTCAGGAGCCACACACGGGCCAGTGAGCGTCGTAGGTACCGAGTTATCCCAGTGAACCCGACATTCCCCTGAGGAATTCCTGCCTCCACTGGGCAGAAGCGTGCCAGGGTCCACATGCAGACAAGGCAGAGGGCTGAATGCTGTTTGCTGATTAAAATACTTTTCAAACTAAATGCTTATTGTACCTGCTAGTTCACGAGCAGCAGGGCAGACGGTTTCTTCTCTCCCATTCATCATAAAGCTCTGTTTATGCAGGACAGCCAGAGAGCTTTTCTCTCGGGGGCTTGGAAATCTCTCTCACCTTCAGGTGGTGGCGGGGAGAGGGAGGGTTCATGGAGCAGAGCGTCCGTCTTTTCTAGAAGGAGATTGAACTCAACAGTCAAGAAGTCTGAGGCCTGGGGGAGCCACCTAACAGTGTCCCCCAGACGCCCAGCCTGGGCTCTGTCCTGGAGAACTCGGGGGGCCTGGCTCCCAGGCAGCCCCAGGCCTGAGCCCCCTCCTGTGGGCTGCACTTCCTGTCAGCTGGTTCCTGTCCTCAGCAATCTGGAGAGGAGATGTCCCTCCGGAGGCACACCAGTCACAGTGTCTGAGGAGTGGCAGTGAGCACACCCTCCGACAGCCTTTCCCACGTCAGGGCGCTGTCTGAATGTCTTTCTCTGTACGATAGGAACAAAGGTGATACCTTGGTCGGCTCTTGGCCCAGGCGTGGGAGCTGTGCTTACAGTTAGGAAGAGTGACGTTGTTTGTTTCACCGTCACCCAAAGGAAACACTTAGGGGACAGCGTAGAGATTTATTGACTAGGGAATGCGTCACAGAGCTGTTTGTGATAGCAAACCAGGAGGTGAGAAGACAAGCTAATTTCCACAATTCACTTAAAATTATGATGGAGTATTTACTGACATGGGAAAAAGTCCATGGTAGATAATTAAATGAAAAAGTCCTTGAGAGATAGTTAATGTGAGTGCCATTAAGAATGTAAGTGTGACACACAGAAACGGAAAACGCTTTGGAGGGCTGTTGTGCCTTTTTTTTGTTTTGAGGGGGTATTGTGGATCGAATCCAGGGGTGCTTAACCACTAAGTCACGTCCCCAGCCCCTTTTTAACATTTTATTTTGAGACAGGTTGCTCAGGGCCTTGCTAAATGAGGCTGGGCTCAAACTTGCAATCCTCTTGCCTCAGCCTCCAGAGCCACTGGGATTACAGGCGCGTGCCGCTGCACCCAGCTATGCGCCAAATTTTTAAACAGTGCTTTTTTTCTTAGGAAGATGTTAAAAAAAAAGTTTTTTTTTTTCTTAGTTGTTTCTTAAATGTTTTTCTACAGTGAACCTGTATTTCTTTTTGTCAGTAAGGAAAGCCACCCTGGTATTTTCAGGGGGAAGGAGAACTCTGGAGGTTGGTGATCTGTCTCTCACCCGCCCCTGTCCTGCTTGACTTTCAGGTAAGGAACAACTGCAGACATCACTTCCTTTCTTCCAAAGCTCTCAAGTGTGTGTATGACCTGGTGACCTGGGCTGTCACTCAGCTGGCCGTCTCGTACACGGTGGCGCCGTTCGTCATGTTGGCCGCGGAGCCTGCCCTCAGCTTGTACACGTGAGTTCCCTGCCCTCTGCTGCCGCCTGGCCGACTGCTCTGTTGTCTGTGGTGGCCTTAGAGCCGGGTAGGTCCCATCAGCATAGTGAGACTGTACCAAGAATTCCCAAATGGGACCGAGGAGTGAAAGATGCCCACGGACCTTCAGAGGAGGCGCCTGCCCCAGGACCCCAACACACACCATCAGCACCTGCGGGGAGGTTCCAGGGAACACCTCAGTTTTCCTGGTGCCAATGAGGGGCGCTCCAAGCAGTGAGGGGCAAAGGGACTGATCCAGGTTAGAGATTCTGCCTCCGCTGCTCTCCCTGGCCACAGTGGGGGTCAGAAGGCCGGAGCTGGGCCCAGGTGGGCTCCTTTGCATGGTCTGTAGCAGCGCTCTGTGTCCTTCATGAGGTGCTGACTCTGCGGGGTGTGCATGGGGGTTTGTTCTCCTGATGCACGTGGTGGAGAGGGGTGTGTGGGATTTAGGGTCCAGAGGGAGGCTCCCACCAGAGGTGTGAGAGGTTCCCGAGTCAGACCCTCCTCCTCAAACACCTGCACTGCAAATGCACTGCTGACCTGCAGTTGCTTCCTTTTATTGTTGTACATTGATGTTTGATTAGTCGGGTTTTCCCACTACTGTGAAATGGTTGGGCCCAGAGCTTTGGAAACTTCCTGTGTCGCCTCACCGTGAAAGTAGCTAAGAGTAGAATCCACCGCCAGTGTGGTGGTTGGGACTGTCCTTAGAATTGAACCAGGAGGATTTGCAGAGGGCCCAGGCCAGGACCTATGGCTTGAATTCAGTAAATGTAGCTTCATTATCTGATGAGCAGCACAGGCTTTTCCAGGTTCCCTTTTGAACATAGTATGGTTACAAAGGAAAGCGACTTCGAAAAAAGAGACACAGTGCAGTCGTCAGGGCTCAGGAAATGACACCTCAAGTTTTGATGCCTTGTCATGCAGAATGCTTTGAACTAAAGGGGGGCCAAGGTCTCATCCCCCCACCCGGCCCCAGTCTCTTGCCCTTATTTTTCCTCCGGAAGTACAATAAGGGACTTTCTCTGAAATTCTCCTATTTATTTAAAGGCTGGACTCTAAAGAAGAATAATTTGCAAGAAAAACTGACATGCATCCAGCACCCCGGCAGCCTTTGTCCCAGGTGGTTGCCCGTCATTCCGGCCTGTTCTCCCCTAAGTCATTTGTTCTCCCTCCGGAGCTGCCCACAACTTCCACCCTTCCCTCCCCGGTGGTGAGAGGATGTTTAATCTTCAGCCATCTGGCCCTTGGCTTTCTTCTCGTGACCCCATGCACAGTGCACATGACAAATCTCTACCCCTTTCTCCTGTTCCTCTGTCTGCCTGTTTTCCATTTGTTTCTGCAGACACAGATCCTGCATAAACACACCTTATTTGTGAGCTGAGGGTTCCCCGGACTGGTTAGGAATGGATTGAATCTTTTCCTGTCCACTATGTGTGTGTCAATATCCATAATTAAGAGGATTTTCTTAAGATAATAGGAAACGAAGGTGGAGGGAACTATACACACTCATCAATGAGGTCTGTTCGGCTACGTGTGTTTCCACGGTATATCAGGTGATGAGCAGTCACACCAGGGTGACGTGGAAGTCGTGCTGGTCATGCACAGTGTTCCTGGGATGCCACGAGAGCAGGAAGAGTCCCGTCTCCGGCAAACCAGAGCCCTCAGTTCAGCCGCTGCAGCAGGAGGAGCCTCGTTGGCTCTGCAGGAGGAAACTTGACTTGAGCACCCCTTCCCCAGGCTCCCCCGGAGACCACGCCCCCAGGCTCCCCCAGAGACCACGCCCCCAGGCTCCGCCCTCTGCCCTCAGCAGGCTGTAGCCCCTGTCCCTTCCTTGGGGCCGCCCCCTGTCCCAGCCTCCCTTTCCGTGTCCTTGTCAGGGCCCTGGATTAAGCAGGCATTTTTTTTTCTTTGCCTTTGCGTCGTTAGTTTCTGAAGCGTGTGCGGCTCTAGGCCTCGGCTGCCCAGGACGTCGCCCAGGGTGTGGGTCTGTGGGTCTGTCTTGCTTAGCCTCCAGGTCCCTGAATCTCCCAGGTGTGGAGTTGTCTGCCTCTAGGACAGGACCCCCTGCCCCCAGGAGCCCCCGAATTCTAATCACGAGATTTTCCTGGAATATGTTTGTCATGTTACAGCAAAACTGTGTGTTCCCCGAGTCTCATTGGATCCCTACAGCGCGCTGGACGTTGCGCAGTGGACAGGTCATTCCTGCTCCCACGGAGGTGACAGCCCGATGGGAGAGAGAGATAAGGGTGACAAATTATAAACACACCCTGAGACACAGATTCAGGAGTCTCTCTACAGGAATCTGACCCTCCCTGGGGCAGAGGGCAGCTCTGGGCGGAAGTGGCCTTTCAGCTGGGCCCTGGGGCCCGTGAGGCAGGGCTCTGGGCTGTGCCTCTGAGGTCGGAAAGGCATGGAGAGGCCCCTGGGGAAGCAGGAAGCTTCAGACCTTGAACTCCTGAGAAACAGGGATGTGCGCAGATCAGAGAATTTAAAGTGCGCAGCGGTGTCTGGGAGAGAGAGGGATCGGTTAGCAGTCTCCCCATTCATCCCGTCAGGAAGTGGAGACCCAGAGAGGGTGCGTGGAATAAAACTCACACAGCAACCCAGAATCAGCTCTGCGTTTCAGACTCAAAGTTCCTTTAATGGCAAGATCAGCAGTGTAATCACTAAAAATTTGTTGAGGAGAAGCTATTTTGGAAGCAAATTGCTGCTTGCAGATCAAAGTAAGTTAAGACATGTTTATGATAACATGCATTTAACCAACTAAAGCGCATGCTAATTCCGGCACTTAGGTGGAATCCAATTGTTGTCAAGCAGCTTTCCATTGCTTCAAAAAAAATAATCTAAAATGCGTTTTAAAACACCTTTGTGGAGGATAAAACAAAATATTTTTCCAAATTGGTCCATTCGAGTTGATGTGACCTAAAGTTATCTGGCATGTATGATAATACGTGTAATCCATACTGTATGAGTAAGCTCCCTGTCTGCATCAGCCCAGCCCAACAGAAGCGTCTGTGATAACTGACATCTTCTTTTCTCTGGGCATTAGATGGCCCACGTATTAGCCATGAGCATGTGTGACCATTGAGCACTTGGAATGGGGCTAATGACTGAGGAATGGAGCCTTCCATCTCATTTAATTTTAGCAGCCTCATGTGTACCCATGGCCATTGGAGATTGATCGCACCTCAAAACGTGTATTCAGAATCTCTTGAGAACCTTTGAATCTGATGAAAGAGTCAGAATCACCAGCCATTCAGTGGAGTGAGCCTCGGTTGCTTTCTGGATCTGCACCTCACTCGGGCTCCCTGCTGTCACGGGCCACCAAAGAAGGCTGTGGGCAAACCTGTTTGTCAGCACGCCCTCCCTGCGTTGCTCAGCCTTCAGGCCCCTCCTGTGCTTTGTGTTTGTGTCTAGTTGGGCTTTCAGTCTAGAGTGTCCTCAAATTACAGCTTTAAATTTCTCAACACTTTTCGTTTAAATTTTCAGTGAGTCTCAAGTTTAATGAACACTTGACTGTATTATTATTAATATTATTATTATTTTTTACTGGAGATTGAACCCAGGGGGGCTTAACCACTGAGCCACACCCCCAGCCCTTTTTTGTATTTTATTTTGAGATAGGATCTTACTAGGTTGCTTGGGGCCTCGCTAAGTTGCTGAGGCTGGCTTTGAATTCACTATCCTCCTGCCTCAGCCTCCCAAGTTGATGGAGTTATAAGTGTGCACCGCTGCACCTGGCCACTTGACTGTATTATGAAAGAAACTTTCTGTGAAACCATTTTGAAAATCCAAATCCTCATACATTAATTTGTCTCTAATTAGATAACGCTTTTTTAAATTCAGTGTGTAGGAATGTGGGAAGAAATTTTGCAGATGGCAGACTCCTTGAGGGCAAAAATTGTGCCTTATTCACTTTTGTATCTGGAGGATTTGGGTCAGCACCTTGGCCTGTTGAGCTGAGTTTTTCCTTAATAAAAGGATGAAATAGTCTTTCATTTTTAATTAATAAAATTATAAAGTATAGGATATATTTTATTCTCATTAGGACCCCATTCTTTATAGTCCTAGAAAAATATGGAATCTCAGAAGAGGTTACTAAACCTCTCTAGGGAATCAAAATTTGTTTCCCTTAATTGCCAAAGTATTTGGATTTATTTAATTAATTATATTTGCAGTACTAGGGATTGAACTCAGGGGTGCTATATCACTGAGCCACATCCTTAGCCCTTTTTATTTATTTTACTTATTTCACTAAGTTGCTAAGGCTGGTCTCAAACTAGCAATCCTACTGCCTCAGCCTCCCAAATCGCTGGGATTGCAGGCATGCACCACCATGCCTGGCTGGTGTTTGGATTTAATCTAATATAGTTGCTACCATGCCGATTTGGCCATGTATAAAAGATTAATGCAAAACACCCGGACAAAGTATATTTTAGGTGTGTAGACTTGGAAAGCTGTAATTACCTATGACTAGAGCACATTTTGAGAAAACCTCAGTGTATATGTGTTAACCAGCATGTTTATCTGTGGAGCCCTTTTTCACCCTCAATAATGTTCTTAGAAGTAAATTAGATGATTAATTACTGTACCTATTCACCCTTTGCTCCTGGTTAGGTGAGCATTAATCATGTCCAGTCGGTCCTCTGTATCCATGGGTTCGGTAGCCATGGATTCAACCAACCGGGGATGGAAAATAGGTGGAAAAAAATTGCTTCTGTCCTGAATGCGTACAGACTTCCATTCTTGTCATTACTCCCTAACTGATGTAGTGTAACAACTATTTGCATAGCACTTACACTGTGTAAGGTATCATAGGTAATCCAGAGATGATTGGAGTATTCCAAAGTACGTGCGTATGTTATATGCAAAGGCTGTACTATTTCATGTAAGGTGCAGTACCGTTGGGGAGTCCTAGAACCAATTCCCATGATTCCACAGAAGGATTGTTGTCTTGTTATCATTGTCCCAAGAGAGGGGGT